CAGTAGACATGGGACCAGCATTCCATTGGCTCTGACACTTTTCTTGTGTTCTTTCCAAAGCAGACCATCCGAGAGCTGTTTGATATGCCTCTGGAGGAGCCATCTGGCTCATCTGTACCCTCTGCCCCTGAAGATGAAGAAGAGACTGTGGCCAGCAAGCAGACCCAGATCCTAGAGCAGGTGAAAAAACCAGTGGGCAGTCTCTAGAGTCCCTAGAGCTAATGGTTGTCTGATGAGCTTGTCCCAGGGGAAAGAACTGTTTCTGTGATTCTGAGATTATAGTTGGCCTTCGATAGCTGTGAGGAGATTGCTTATTGGTTCACATGATTTCATAGATAGAAAACAGGATTTGGAGTCCTCAGTTCCAGGTTTGAGTTCCAACAGTGCTTTTTAATAATTGTGTTTGTTAAGCCAAGTCCATTTAATCTTTTGAGCCTTGCTTTTTTTTTTTTTTTAAGAGCCTTGCTTTTCACTTTTCTGAAGTACTAAATGAGAAGGAAGGAAGTGAGGATTAAATGGCGTAGTGAATGTAAGAAGTGCTTCGTATATGGTGTAAAACTCATTTTCCAAACACTGATGCATACTAGAATCATTTGGAAGGCTTTGAAAAAGGTTGATTCCCGAGCCCCATCTCAAAATCTACTAAATCATTTTTGAGAAATGAGGTCTGGGCATTTGTATTTTTTCAGAAGTAGATAGAGGTTTAGGAACTACAGGTGTGGATTATCATGGAGAAGCTTTTTCTTACTAAGTGCCTTTCTCTCATTGCTGAGCATGCTCCAGGCTATTTCCCTCAGTGACTTTGGTTTGAGCTCCCTGGATATTCATCTCAGAGGAATAATCAGATGTGGTTAGTCTGTTGTCGTGAAGCACTCAGTGCAAAAAAGAATTGTGAATTTTTTTCGTGCTTAGGACTTTCTGGGACTGCTTTTTAAAGAGTTCTAAGGCTGACTTGAATGGAAAAGAAGTGGAAATAGAGGTCTCTGAAATAGTTGTTTTTGTCCCTGGTGGAACTCCTGGTTAAACCTATTCCATTTTATGGGGACGGGACCACTGCATTGCTTTGGTAATTTGGGGGGCTTAGAAGAGAGTTGAGTTCTGATGTAAACCTGGTTTGGTGTAGACTCGGCCTCAAACATTTACCAGAATCAAATCACAGGATATAAAGTTCTTTAATTCATATGGTCTCTTTCTCCATACCCTCATAGGCATTGTGCCGGGCAGAGGATGAAGAGGATATCCGTGCGGCCACCCAGGCCAAGGCTGAACAGGTGGCTGAGCTTGCAGAATTCAATGAGAATGATGGGTTTCCTGCTGGTGAGGGAGAGGAGGCTGGTCGACCTGGGGCTGAAGATGAGGAGATGTCCCGGGCTGAACAGGAAATTGCTGCCCTTGTGGAACAGGTCAGTGTTGGCTCCACTGGATCTCAGCCTCACCCTCATTCCTCTGGACTCTGTGACCCTTCTTCTGTCTTCCCTGGTGAAAATAATCAAGGATGATGGGCGCTGGGCACCAGGTCCCTATGTTTATCACCACTACTCTTCCCCATAGCTGACCCCCATTGAACGCTATGCCATGAAATTCCTGGAAGCCTCACTGGAGGAGGTGAGCCGAGAGGAGCTCAAGCAGGCAGAAGTGAGTATTTCGCGGGAGTGGGGATAGAAGTGAAAAGTGGCTGCTTTCCACCACTCCCCGCCCTGCTTGCCTCCCTCTGACCACTCCTTGGGCTCTGTTGTTGGTAGGAGCAAGTGGAAGCTGCCCGCAAGGACCTGGACCAAGCCAAGGAGGAGGTGTTCCGCCTACCCCAAGAGGAGGAGGAGGGGCCAGGGGCTGGGGATGAGGTTTCCTGTGGGACTGGTGGAGGCAGCCACCGGCGCAGTAAGAAGGCCAAGGCCCCTGAAAGGCCAGGGACTCGCGTCAGTGAGCGTCTTCGTGGAGCCCGGGCTGAGACTCAAGGGGCAAACCACACTCCTGTCACATCCACCCATCATACCCGCAGCACCTCCACACCCACCCGCTACAGCCCTGCCAGGGAGCGAGTTTCCCGGCCAGCACCTAGGCCTCGACCCACTCCAGCTCCAGCTCCTGCTGCAATTCCTGCCCCAATCCCTGTCCCAGTTTCTGCCCCGATCCCCATTTCAGCCCCAAATCCAGTAACCATGCTTCCTGTCCATATCTTGCCTTCTCCCCCTCTTCCACCTGCACAGATTCCACCCTCTTGTTCTTCTGCCTGTACCCCTCCTGCTGCTTGTACCCCTCCACCAGCTCATACTCCACCTCCAGCCCAAACTTCTCTCTTAACTCCTTCCTCCCCTCTCCTGCTTGGTCTACCTTCTGTGCCCGTTTCCCCACCAGTCACCAACCTCCCCTTGGGCTTGGGGCCTGAGGCTGAACTATGTGCACAAGCAGTGGCATCTACTGAGTCCCTGGAGCTGGCTGATAAGGCCAGCTCCGAGACTTCCCCAGTTACTCTTGTGCCCCCTAAGGATCTGTTACCAGTTGCTGTTGAGATCCTGCCTATGTCAGAGAAGAACCTTTCTCTCACCTCTTCTGCACCTAGCCCAACCCTGGCGGCTGGCAGCGTCCCCAACGGTCAAGAGCAGGAAGTGCCCGAGCCTGCCGAGGCGACCATTCTCTCAGTGCTGCCTGATGGTGAGGAGGTGCCCGCGTGTCTGAGTGAGAGCCATAGGCTGGAGCTCCCACCTTCAGCAGCATCTGATGAGCTACTTCAGGAGCCACTGGAGGCTGACAAGAACTCAGAAGAGCTGGTGGAGGCCCAGACCCCAACCTCTACCCCAGAGAAACCACAGGAACTTATTTCAGCTGAACAAGCTGAGGTCACAGCCCCATCAACCTCATCCTCAGCCACCTCCACACCTGAGGGTCCTTCGCCTGCCCGGCCCCCTCGGCGTCGTACCAGTGCCGATGTAGAAATTAGGGGTCAGGGGGCTGGTAGGCCAGGGCAGTCTCCAGGTCCCAAAGTGCTTCGCAAGCTGCCAGGACGGCTAGTGACTGTGGTAGAGGAAAAGGAACTGGTGCGGCGACGACGACAGCAGCGGGGAACTGCCAGCACCCTAGTGCCTGGAGTCTCTGAGACTGGTGCCAGCCCAGGAAGTCCGTCTGCCCGCAGCATGTCGGGGCCAGAATCCTCACCTCCCACCAGTGGTCCCTGTGAAGCTGCTCCCCCATCCACACTGCCCACCCCAACCCAGCAGCCCTTCATAGCTCGTCGTCACATTGAGCTGGGGGTGACTGGTGGGGGCAGCCCAGAAAATGGAGAAGGGGCACTACTTGCCATCACCCCTCCTGCTGTGAAACGTCGGAGGGGGAGGCCCCCCAAGAAGAACAGGTCTCCAGCAGATGCTGGGCGAGGGGTGGATGAGGCACCTTCATCCACTTCTAAGGGAAAAACCAATGGGACTGACCCAGTCCCTGGGGCTGAGACCCTTATTGTTGCGGAGCCTGTGCTGGCACCCCAGCTTATTCCTGGGCCCCAGCCTCTTGGACCCCAGCCAATTCATAGACCCGAGCCCATCATCCTATCACCTGTGGAGAAAAGAAGGCGTGGGCGGCCCCCTAAGGCCCGAGATTTGCCCATTCCTGGGACCATTTCCTCTCCAGGGGATGGCAACCTAGAGAGCCGGACACAGCCACTCCCGCTACCACCACCCCTGCCACCACTCCCACCACTCCTAGCCTGTCCCACTGCTACTGTCGCCAACACTGTCACCACTCTCACCATTTCAACATCCCCACCCAAGCGGAAGCGGGGCCGACCTCCCAAGAATCCTCCATCACCTCGGCCCAGCCAGCTCCCTCTCTTGGACCGTGACAGTTCTTCTGGCCTCGAAAGCTATGGATCGGGGAAGCAGCGGCAACCCCAGGGCCAGGGGGAGAGTGAGGGTAGTTCCTCTGATGAGGATGGAAGCCGCCCCCTCACCCGCCTGGCCCGTTTACGGCTTGAAGCAGAGGGAATGCGGGGACGGAAGAGTGAAGGGTCCATGGTGGTGGCTGTAATTCAGGATGACCTGGATTTAGCAGATAGTGGGCCAGGCGGGTTAGAATTGACACCTCCTGTGGTCTCATTAGCTCCAAAACTGCGCTCAACCCGGCTGCGTCCAGGGTCTCTAGTCCCCCCACTAGAGACTGAGAAGGTGCCTCGCAAACGGGCAGGGGCCTCAGTTGGCGGTGGTCCTGGGCTGGCAAAGCGAAGCCGCCTGCAACCTCCAAGTCCCCTGGGGCCTGAGGGTTCAGTAGAGGAGTCAGAGGCTGAAGCCTCAGGTGAGGAGGAGGAAGGGGATGGGACACCACGCCGCCGGCCTGGCCCCCGCCGGCTTGGTGGGGTCACCAACCAAGGGGACCAGCGCATCTTGCGCAGCAGTGCCCCTCCCCACTTGGCTGGCCCTGCCATTAGTCACAGAGGCCGCAAGGCCAAGACGTGAGTGGGCTGCCCCTCCACCTAGACTTTCCGCCATGGCCCCTCTCCCTCCACGACCAGGCCTGACTCTGTTAACCACTACTTGAAGTCTTTCGAGAGGGAGAAATTCTCCAGGGAGACAGGGGCCTTCTCCCTTCTTTCCACCAAAGTAGGGGGTAGGCAACCGGTTGTCATGGAAACGGGGCTCTTCACATATCCCCCTTCCCTTCCACCCCACATGGCTGGGCAGTGTTAAGGGTGGCAAGATAGTCTCTGTCCCCACCCCCTTGTACTTGATCCCCCAGCTATCTTTTACAGCCCCCCACCCTTAGGGGAAGGGGGAGGGGCTTCTCTCTACAATGAGTTTTCTTTTTCTTTTTTTTTCTTTTTTTTTTAAGAAGAAAAAATAATAAACTTAGTTTCTGTATGAGCATCCGCGTAAGGAGGCTTCTGATTTTCTGGTCTGGTGGAGGGTTGGGTGGGAACTTGGGCATCGTTTTTCTCCTCTTTCTTGCTCTTTCCAAGACCTTAGTACCTGATCTCTAACCCAGAGTTATGTATCTTTGAGGCAGAAATCTCCACCCAAGAAGAGAAGAGAATGGCAAGTCTGATCTCCTGGTAGGGTACCTTTCCCTGAAGTGTCAATTTTAAGTCCTTCAGACTCACATTTTTCTCTCCTCCCTTCTAGTCCCTTGGTTCCTGGACTTTCCTTCAGAGCTATCTGATGCCTCAGACTTTTTGTTGCTTTTATCCCTCTTTCTCAGGTGCTTTCACTCCCTTTCCAGAAGGCAGGCATCCTACCTCCTGTTGCTCCATCCTTTGCCTTCCCTTGCTTTTCTCCATCTAGCCAAACTGGTTTGAGTCAGCCCCACCCCCTTCCGAGCTCCTGGGGCTCTTCAGATGGTGGCTGGCCACCCAACCCCACCCTTGGGCTTGGCTTGGAGCCCTGAGTCAGCTCCATCTCCACCCAAGCCAAATCAAACCTGAGGCTGGAGCCGAAACTCACAGTCCTTCAAGACCTATAGCCAGGTAAGTCCCTGTTCATTTTTACATTGTCTCTGATCTCGGTTCCCTAGATCCTCTCCTCGTTTTTTCCCCCTGGTGACTGTATCTGTCTTTACCTCATCTGAGTTCTTTCCTCACATCCTTTCTCCTACAGCTTTGTGTGGCATATATCATTCTTTGGTTGTCTTGCCCCTTGTATTTCCCCTTTTGTAGCCTTTGTTACTTGTGTTCAGAGAACTGCAAATGGTTCCATTTTGTTTAGAATGTAGGGGAATAGAAGTGAAGGTAGAAAAGTGGCTTGATGCCAGAGCTCTGAGAATTAGAGAGATGAGAAATGATTAACTACAGCATCATTATGCCAGTTTCTGTGTGGGTTATGAGGTCATTTGGAGTCCAGAGTGTTAATTTGATTGTGTATAGCATGGGTTAAAATTGAGAGAGGAGGTGGTAGGGAGTCAACATAGAAAGGGAGACTGATTTGGGGAGGTGAGATCTTTCTAATGTTCAGTTTCTTCATCTATAAAAGCTTAGGTGAGTGGTTTTTCCCCTATCCCAAAACTGTTTTCATAGGAAATTGCTCCTTTGCTTGAAGTGGGGTACAGGGCCTAAGGTGCCATTCTCTGACCCCCTTCTTAATATTTGAGAGCAGCCTCTCAGGTACTTCGAGGAATTTTAGGGCCTTTTGAAAAACAGTTTAAAATCATTGACTTGGTTAGTCTCAGATTCCTAGTACTTTTTGGTATTCTGTTTTTCTCTACTACTTCTCAGGGTGCACCTGTCATTTTGTTTCTCCCCACTTGTCAAAACAGCAATACAGATAATGCTGTGTTCACACTAGCTTGCCTTTAAAGACTCAGAATCTTAGGCTGAGGAGAAAGGATTCCAGCTGCATGTTTCCTCTTGGTCTGTGAGTCACTTGGGGAATTCCCAGTGAGGCAACCTTTCTGAGAGTTGGTATAGGCCATGAGGACGTGATCAGAGAGGGGTAGAGTCTGAGCAAGGCAAACCAAGGGCTCAGTTGTTGGGCTTATAAGTGTCTTGACTGTATCGCCCACAGGTGATGGAGGACGAGGAAAAGGCAGTGGAGGTCTTGCTGAGCAACATGGAAGCTGCTCATTCTCCATCCCCCATTCGCTGCTGCTGGCTCCGCCTCCGCTACTTGGCAGCTACTAGCATTGTATGTGGCTGCTCTTGCCTGGGAGTCCTGGCCCTTGTGTTTGCCATCAAGGTGAGGAATGCAGTTCCTATGGGAGCAGGGGTGTGAGTGTATTAAGGCAATGGTTCTGTATACCTGATTTGTCTACATCGATCAAACAATAAGTACTTATTAAAGCTTGGCTATGGTCCTGGTGCCAGAAATAAGAATAAGACATGGTTCCTGCAGTCAAAGGGCCAACAGCCTAATGAAAGAGATGACTGTGAAAATGGGTAATTGTTAACAAAAGGCAGCTCACCAGTACTTTAATAGAGGAAGCACAGGGTATTCTGAGAGCTAGGGAGGATATGTGTGTGCAGTTATATGTTTGTGTGTAGCAGGGTAGGTGACAAGAAAGGCATCGTAAGGGAGTGGCAAGAACGTAATCTTAAAAGATGAATGAATAAGAGTGAAAGGGTGTTCCAGGTGAAGGGAGCACAGGCAACCTGGACCATTAGTTCAGCATGACTAAACCAGTGAGGAATAATAGTGAGAGATGAAGCTGGAGGGCCCAGATTCCCGAGAACCTCCAGTGCTGTGCTTAGGAGTTTCAGCTTTATTTAGGAAGTACTGGGGAGCCTTTCAAGGATTTTTGCAAAGGAGAACAGCATGGTCAAATTTGGGTTTCAGTAAAATCCACTCTCAGGGCCTACTACATAGAGGATGCATTGGAAGGGGCAAGACTCAGGGCAGCTGAGCAGTAATTAGACCAACCTGTAGAGTCCAGCAGAAGCTACGGGAGTTTTGAGAGGGCTTCACCACTTCAAAACATCTAACAGAGACTGCATACCTTTCAAAAGTCCACAAAGGCTAACTTAAACATCATACTGGAATCCCTTAACCTTAGTTATATTTTAACCAGAAGCTGTATTTTTATCATCATAAGAATTTCTGGGTTTCCTTAGGGCAAAATCATTTAAAAAAAAATCCTTAATGGAAAAAGATGAGGCCCATTGGGCTAATGAGATATTAATTAGATGTTGTTTGATTGGACATGAGTGAAATACTCCCAAGATAGCTCACTATTTCTTGCCATGAATTCCAAATTCTGAATGAATCTGGGATGAATAGAAAAGGATGGGGAATAAAATGACTGAAAAATACTTTCCCATAAGTGATCTTGTGAGCTAACAACAGCCATCCTGTAAAGGAGGAAGAGCAGAGTGGGTACCTTACTTTGCAGATGCGATATGAGAGAGAAACTGGAAAGAGAGGTGGACGTTGTGGGTGTGAGGTTTTGAGCCATGACAAAGATGTAGGGTTGGAGTGGGGCAGTGGGCATTTGGGGAGCAGAAGCAGGGGGAGAACCTAACCAAAAACCTACCCCCACAGGCGGAAGAGCGGCATAAGGCAGGCCGGTTGGAGGAGGCAATGCACTGGGGGGCCCGGGCCCGGAGATTCATCCTGGCCAGCTTTGCCACCTGGCTTGCTGTCCTTATCCTGGGCCCTGTGCTTCTATGGCTGCTCTCCTACGCCATCGCCCAGGCTGAGTGACCCTGGGTGGCCTCTGCTGAGAGTTAGCCGACACCTCCTGGATCCTGCAGTGCGACATTGCTAGGGTCCAGTGCCAACAGTGGTACTTCCTGGCTGGAAGGATGGTGCTTCTCTCAAAGGACTTTGGAAGAGCTCTTTAGCCCTTATAAAAGGAGGCGGCAGCTGAGACTGATGAGGGGAGGTCAGCCTGCTCTGTTCTTTCAGTGCCCACCATCCCCTATTCCCCACAACCTACCCCATCCTCGGGGCCTCCAGGAGGTGGGGTTGAAGACCAGGCCTGATTTTATTAGTATTTGTTTTGTAATAAAACTCTTTTTTAGTGGTGAAATGCTCTTGTTTAATTGTTCTTCTTTTGCTTTTCCCTGGGCCCTTGGTGAGAGCCAGGCTAGACATCTGACTAATGGCAGAAGTCTGCATCTCCCCTTACCTAGGAGCTCCAAGAGGAGGAAAGGATTTTTCCCCCCTTTTTCCTTCTTCTGGAAGTTTCCCTTCTTGGAAAGATCCAAGTTTCTCCCTTACATGTCAACAGAGACCCTGAGGCCAGAGAGGAAGAGTCATAGCAGCAGCTACTGTTTATTGAGTACTTACTATGTTCCAGGCTGTGTTCTAAGCATTTTATATTTCTTCACTTCTTCAGGCCTCAAAATCACTCAATAGTAGGTACAATTGTTCTCATTTTATAGTTGAGGAAATAGGCACAGATTACCGAAGGTGACACAGCTAGTAAGTGGCAGAGCTGGAATTCAATCCAGACAGTTTAGTTCCAGAGTCAGAAGAGTGGTGAAAGGTTTGGATAACAGCAACCCTGTATGTGGAGGTTTGTATGATTATAATAAGTCTTCATATCCTTTCTCTTGAGCCTCATGATAATATTTTAAACATTTTTTAAAAATTTTTGTGAGGTGTATCACACATAAAGGAAAATAGCCAGAACAAATGCAAAGCTCAATAAGTTAACACAAAGAAAACATCTGAAAAACCACTATTCAGTCAAGAAATTGAACACTGCCAGCACTCCAAATCCTCCTTTATACCCCTCCCACTCACTACTTCCTTTCTTCCCACAGGTATTTACTTGTGTTACCCACAGATATTCAGACCTCTGACAATGTAGTTTAGTTTTGCCTGCATTTGAACACTATATAAATTGAATCACATGTATTCATTGTGTGTCTTGCTTCTTTTACTTAATATTGTGAGATACATCAATATTTGGTGTAGCCGTAGTTTTCATTTACTGTATAGTATTCCATTATATGACTATATTACAATGTACCCATTTTCTGTTAGTGGACTTTTGCAATGTTCCTGTTTTGGGATATTACGAGTCATGCTGCTTTGGACATTCTAGTACATGTCTCCTGGAGTACATGTGGTCTGGGATGGAGTTTTTGGGTTACTTTACCATAATGCAGAGATCAGCAGAGCACCTAAAGAAATTAGAGATGTTGCACACTGAAGAGATTAAAGGGGAAGGAGAGGCACATGATGATCTTCAGTGTTTCAAAGTGCTGCAGGAAGGAAAAGTGAAGAGAACCCATCATTGGTCCCAGAGGTTAGAATTACAACAATGTGTAGAAGCCATACATACAGTAGTGCTTCTGAACCTTGGCTTCACTGTGGAACCTCCTGGAGCCTTAAAAAGCCTGAGCCTTACCCCCCAGAAATCCTGATTTAATTGGTGTGAGGATAACTCATTTTAGATAGATTTTCTACAAAAACTTTTTTAAAGCTAAAATTTTATTAATTAGCAGTTTCAGTTTACTAGAAGAGAATATCCCATCCCCTCAAAACTGATTACATTAGCTCTTGCTATTTTTTAACTCTACTTTGAAAAAATTTCAAATCTATAGAACAGTAGAATAGTACAGCGAACTCGTGTACTCTTCACCTAGATTTATAGTCTAACATTTCACCACATCTGCTTTTTTATCTTTCTAAGTATATAATCTAACCATTTGAGGGTAAGTTGAATGCCCTTCATCTCTAAAGACTTCATAATCTATATCCTAAGAACAAGGGTATTCTCTCGCATAACTACAGTATAACTATTTAATTCAGAGACGTTAACATCAATACAATATTATATTCTATATATATTTTGTGTGTGGTGGGGGGAGGTAATTAGGTTTGTTTATTTATTTATTTTTTAAGGAGG